TCAGACCCGCGAACTGTGAGATCACGACCTGAGCCGAAGTCAGATGCTTAACCAACTGAGCCACCCGGGCACCTGAACATACTCACTTTTTTAAGCTTTTATTTAAATTCCAGTTAGTTAACAGACAGTGTAATAGTGGTTTCAGGTGTAGAATTTAGTGATTCATCACTTCCGTACAACACCAGGTGCTTATTAGTATACTCAGTTTTAAAGAACTTGGTGTTAATGAAAGGCACAGAAGATTATGTACTTAATTAACCAAAGGTTTGATATAATATCTAGCTGATAGACAATTATGTAACATCCTTCTTCTAAAATTAGACTACGTGGGGGTGCCTGGGTAGCTCAGTCGGTTGAGCGTCCGACTTCAGCTCAGGTCATAGTCTCGCAGTTCATAAATTGGAGCCCCGCGTCGGGCTCAGTGCGAACAAACAGCTCAGAGCCTGGAGCCTGCTTCGGATTCTGTCTCCCCCCCTCCCCTGCTCATGCTCTGCTCTCTGTCTCTCAAAAATAAATAAATGTTAAAAAATTTTTTAAATTAGACTATGTGAACACTAGGAACCAGAGATTGGATGTAATTTTTTTTTTTTATTGTTGTTAACATGCCTGGGAAAATTGTACAGTTTATTTGAACTTAGTGTGTCACATAAAAGGCTGATCTGCTGAAGCCAAAACCAAACATGTCCGTCACCCTTAACTCAGGGCTGTGGATGAAGGGGTTCACCCCTGAAGAGTGGCAGGTGGCAGGTGGCAACCCAGCTAGCTACTTGTAGGGGTGTCCCTGTGTCTGCCCTGGTCTGTCCCCTTCTCCACCGTAGACACGCTGCCATCTTAGAGATTGGTACTGTGCTGGGGGAAGGGATGGGGCAGTACCTCTGCAAAGCTGGCATATGACACGCTTCCTCCAGAGTCTTTCCCGTCAGCTCCTCAGTTCTGTAGGTCGCAGAGTTGGGCAGTAGCGCGTATCGCCAGACCTGACTATTAAAGCACGCTCACTTCCAACAGCAAGGTTAAAGCCCTGGGGTCTAGCCTGAATTCAGTCTCTTGGCAGCTGCATGACTGGGCAAGTTATGTAACTTCTCAGAGACTCAGTTACTTTTCTGATAGATGTCTGTGTGCTTAAGATTTGTTCACTTTACTGTGAAACGTGAGATAATCCCCTCCCATCAAACGGTTGATTAAATGAGATCATGTTTATGGGAAACTCTTACTCTAGGATGTGGCCGTTAAGTAGTGTGGACACCACAGATGATTATCGTTTCAATTACTAGCATACTAATAGATGATACGGGAAATTCTGTTTGCCGTTACAGTTGTGTCACACAATGAAATAGTGTTTTGAGAGGATGTCTCAAACCCTTGGCAGAACAAATCCTCCACCCCATCCCCTCAAAAAACAGATTTTTTAAAATTGTAGTAAAATGCACATAAAATCAATTTTTAACCATTTTTAAGTGTATTTTAATTTAGTGACATTTAGTAATTCGCAGTGTTGTGCAACTATCACCATTATCTAGTTCTAGTTAATCACCCTTAAAGGAAACCCCATAGTCATACACTGTTTCCCGATTCCCCCAGCCCTCGGCAACCACTACTTGGCCTTTGGCCTCTAAGGATTTGCCCACGGTGGATATTTTGTATAAACAGAAACATATGTATATGGCCTTTTGTGTCTGGCTTCTTTCACTTAGCATAATGTTTTCAAGGTTCATCCATGTTATATCACGTATTACTACCTCATTCCTTTTAATTCCTGAGTAACATTCTGTTGTATGGATATATAGCCTTAGTCCATTCGGGCTGCTATAACAAAATACTACAGACAGCAACAGAAATTTATTCCCCACAGTTCTGGAAGCTGGGAGCCCAAAACCTCTTCAGGTTGCAGACTTACTGTATCTGCTCGGGAGCTCTGTGTGGTCTCTTTGATAAGGGCATTGATTCCACCCATAAAAGCAGTGTCCTCAGGCCCTAGCTGCCCACCAAAGGCCCCACCTCCTAATGGCATCACATTGGGCTTAGGATTTTTAACATAGGGATTTGGTGGTGGGCAGGGGTGGGGGTGGGGGGACACAAAATTCAGACCATAGTGTATACCATAGGTAGTTTATCCATTCGTCACTTGATGGACGTTGTGTTGTTTCTGCCTTTGGCTATTGCCAATAGCATTGCTATGGACATTTTTGTACAAGTTTTTGTTTGAATACTTGTTTTCAGTTCTTTGGGGGTATGTGCCTAGGAGTAGAATTGATGGATCAGATGATTGTGTTTAACTTAAAAAAAAACCTGCCAAACTGCTTCCAGCCGTGCTGTTGTACCTCTTTATATTCCTACCAACAATGCCCGAGGGTTCCAGTTTCCTCCAGCACTTGTTATTTTCCAGTTAAAAAATGATGCTTAGGTATCTCACAGTGGTTTGGGATGGTTTGTATATACTGATTTTGTGTGGGTCTGGACCCATGTTTTTCTTACTAGTGTTCGTAATTCTGTCATACCGCAAAGCTACATGACGAACCACCTATACATGATTTCCAATAAAAGATGGGTGTAAAACATCTTTTCCTTCACAGCTCCTGACATGGCTAAGCATGGCTCTGTAATCTGTAGTGTAGACAAACCACTTGTAGAGAATCAGTGGCTAATCATAGATGGTGTCTGATTCCTCTGACCTTTCTGTAATCCTTTTCTTTTGCTTTTAGAGATTTCCTCCGGGTCATCCAAAATGCTGTTAAAACATATTGGATAAGAACTGAGCCACCTGCCTGTGTGGGACTTCCATACTCTCCTGTATTGTCTTCGGATGGCATTTTGATTTGCATCGGGGCCAAGTGACCTGCTGTTCAGGATGAGTGATGAGAAGAACCTTGGGGTGTCTCAAAAACTGGTCTCACCTTCAAGGAGCACCAGTAGCTGCTCCTCCAAGCAGGGAAGTCGACAGGTAAAGTTTAACCAATGCAAATTTTAAGATGCAAATATATACCAAGAAATTTGCAGATTAAGATGTGTACATTTACTTGGGAACCTCTACTATTCAGTGTAATAGCATTTGCTTTCAGTCATACCTTAATTATATGAGAAGAGTAAATTTTAGGTAATTTTTAAAAAAATTTGAGAGAGAGAGAGAGAGAGAGAGAGAGAGAGAGAGAGAGAGAGAAAGCGCTTGCATGCATAAGCAGGGGAGGAGCTGAGCGGGGGTGGTGGGAGAGAGATAATCCCAAGCAGGTTCCATACTGTAGGCTCAGAGCCTGATGCAGGGCTCAATCTCATGAACCATGGAATCGTGACCTGAGCCAAAATCAAGTCAGATGCTTAATCGACTGAGCACCCAGGTGCCCCAAACTTCAGGTAATTTTAATAATGCAGCTCGAGTGCTCACCAGATGGGAAGGAACTGTATTTGGCTTTTTGCATTATTTCATCCAATCCTTGGAACTGTCCTCTGACACAGATATTAATATCTCTTTTTTTTCTATGAGGAAGCTGAGTCAGACCAACTGAGTTATTTGCCCAAGGATACACAGCTAGTAAGTAGCAGAATAAGAAACCACAGCTCAGTCTGACTCCAGAGTCCACACTTTCCTTTGTACCCTACTAACCCAAACAAAAAAAACCCACAATCACTTTTCCAGTAAGTTTAATATCCTCTTGCCCTCTTTTTCCTTCCCTTTATTTTTTTTCAACGTTTTTTATTTATTTTTGGGACAGAGAGAGACAGAGCATGAACGGGGGAGGGGCAGAGAGAGGGAGACACAGAATCGGAAACAGGCTCCAGGCTCCGAGCCATCAGCCCAGAGCCTGACGCGGGGCTCGAACTCACGGACCGCGAGATCGTGACCTGGCTGAAGTCGGACGCTTAACCGACTGCGCCACCCAGGCGCCCCTTTCCTTCCCTTTATAAGTCATTTACGACCGCTTCCAAGCGCAGATTGCCCTGCTGGTGACTTTGAGTCTCACCTGCTTTATTTCTCCATGGATGAGGGAATCGATTCCACAGAGCAGTGGTCAAAAGGTATTAAGTAGGAAGAAGAAAGAAGTGAAGCAAAGAACTGAATCATTAACTCCTAAATAACTGTCAGCTGTAATTCTATGTCGTTTCTTGGTTTTCTTTCTAATAAATCTGTTGGCAGAACTTGCGGGTTTTAGGTCAGTGGCGGTAAATGCAGATGAATCATTATAATTCTACCACCATAAGTTCAGTAGAGAGAGAAGTTGTGTCAAGAAGTTGTGGCTTCACAATCAAAACGGTCTCTGAGCCTTTTCAGCATCTGCTGGCTGTGTTGGCATTATCTTTCCCTCATGGGAAGTGCTGGCCTAGGAATTGTCCCAGAGAGTTCTTGGTTCCAGATTTGGAAGCACCGATCAGGCGACCTCCCACGGCAGGCACGTCCGCACATTTATGACACATCATCACGGGTCTCTCCGTCTGAACACTGCCTGGGCCATGGAGCTTGCCACCTCATGGTGCTGCTTCATGTCATCAGAATCTGTGATTGTAGACACATTAGATTTTGCCTGAGGCTGGACATTCACGGAGCCCTCCAAGATCTCCTGTGAGGGGTTTAGGAAGAAAAAATTTTTCAGCACAGTAATCACTTCTGTCTCTGATTTAAAAAAAAAAAAAAAGGCTAAAATTAGTCCTTGGCTAATGCATCATGACTCCTTTTGGAGTTCCAGTTTCGTAAGGGTAGCTGTATGCTCGCCCTCCTTGCCAGCTTTCCATGGGGGTGGAGGGGTAGGGGGGTGGTTCTCTCCCTGGCCAAAATTCTGATTGGGATTAGAGGTTGAATATGTGATCTTTCCCTCACCCTTTGCACCTAGTAGCATCCGCTGATATCTCCCTCTTGGATAAAAGGAGAAAGAACATGATTCATTTATTTATTTATTTTTAAAGCTCATTTATTTATTGAGAGAGAGAGAGAAGGAGCAGGGAGGGGCAGAGAGAGAGAGGAGAGAGAGAATCCCAAGCAGGCTCCATGCTGTCAGTGCAGAGCCCAACACAGGGCTCAGTCCAATGCATGTGAGATCATGACCTGAGCCAAAATCAAGAGTCTGATGCTTAACCGACTGAGCCACCCAGGTGCTCCAAGAACATGATTCATTTCAATGGCCAGTGCTTATAACACCAGAGGAAGTGGAACAGTGCAGTGACATCCTACGATTGAATACCACAGAAACTTCTTTTACTGTGTTATTTGAATTGATTAATTTTGGTTTTCAAAAGACTCTTTTGAGCTTATGCCATAAAGACTAAGAGGAGGGGCTCTCTCTCTCTCTCTCTCTCTCAAAATAAACAACAAAAAAGAAATTTAATGTGAGCAATCTTGAAATCTGATAATCTGTGCAACAACCTACTTGTTTTTATTTTTTTTATTTTTCCATTTTTTAATTTTTTAAATGTTTATTTATTTTTGAGAGAGAGAAACAGAGACACAGAGCATTAGCGGAGGAGGGGCAGAGAGAGAGTGGGAGACACAGAATCTGAAGCAGGCTCCAGGATCTGAAGCTGTCAGCACAGAGCTCAACTTGGGGCTTGAACTCATGAACCATGAGATCATGACCTGAGCAGAGGTCAGATGCTTAACTGACTGAGCCATCTAGGTGCCCCCAACCTACTTGTTTTTAAAGCCCCAGTTTAAAGTCACTATTAGCTAGTTCTGTTCTTTTCACTTCGTGGGGGAGTGGTGCAGAAGTCTGATGTTGACTGTACTGGACCCTCTAAAAGGCTGGTTTTTCTCATATGCTTTGGAATTATGGTTTAGAGTGTCATCTTGAGTTTGCCTCTTCATGTTCTTTCTCTGCTACTCACCCTGCCGTATCTAGGGATCTGCTATTTCCTGCTTCTTACCTCTGGGGACCCCGGTTCAGAGCCAAGTGTTGTATTTGCAGTTTGGGGTTTCTGTTCCACATCGATGATCGAATATCCAAGATCCACCAGCAGCCAGCACACATGGGCCAAGTCTGGTGGTGGTCTGCCTCCTGCCACCCCCCAGGATAAGGAGTTTTCAAGCCCCCTTTCATTGTGGTGTGGAGCTCCCCCTCCTTATTTGCTTATTTCCAGCAGTGAGGCCAGCTCAGGTCCCAGCCTTTTCCTGTGGACATTTTTAGCCCCATTTACCCACAGAAATAGGGCTCCTGGACAGTCTGTCTACAGTATCCTTTGCCTTTCTATTTTGTGTTTGAACGACAGAGATGTTTAATCTTGTGTTGTTTTTTTTTTAATCTCACACCCACACCCACCCACACCCACCCACACACACACACAGACCCCACCCCCCCACATACCCTACATGCTTGTAACTTTGTATATTTTTGCTGTTTGGAGCCAGGGTGGTAATCGAGAGGGCCACTAACTGCAAACTTACAATACAGACCTAGCTGAAAAACTTGGTTGTCTTAAATTCTCCTTCGTCATCACGGGGGGACATGGAGAGCCTCTATACTCCAGCTACACTGGCTTTCTTTCGGTTGCTTGCATTGGCTTTGCCCTTGTCCTTGTTTCTTGAAGTGAATTTGAACTTGTCCTTCCTGTCCCAGAGCCTCCTCACGTAAGATCTCAAGGAGCTAGGCCTTTATGTGTCTTTCATCTAAATGTCTGTTAGAAGAGTTTGCTTCCTTGAAGGACAGAATGATTGAGACCTGGGCATTAATTGTGATTGGTGTCTTTGCTTTTACATGTGACCTAAGACAGAGTTTACAGCTTGGAACCATGAAAACCCAAGGAGAAGGGTTCTATCATCTTTTAACTTAAATACTAGGGCTTTTTATTTTTTTTTTATTTTTTTTAACGTTTTTTATTTATTTTTGAGACAGGGAGAGACAGAGCATGAACGGGGGAGGGTCAGAGAGAGGGAGACACAGAATCTAAACAGGCTCCAGGCTGTCAGCACAGAGCCCGACGCGGGGCTTGAACTCACGGACCACGAGATCATGACCTGAGCCAAAGTTGGCTGCTTAACTGACTGAGCCACCCAGGCGCCCCTAGGGCTTTTGATATTTTACATACGGTATGCCTCATTTTGTCAGTATGGAAACAACCTGCAAATATAATCTTACCCAGATAATTTGGGGAGGAAGGTATGTGTGGTGATTAGAACCTGAACTCCCAAGTCTGGGTTCCACCCATTCATTGGTTCTCTGACCTTTAACACTGAAACTTAAGCCTCCGTTTTCTCATCACTAAAATTGGAATAATAACAGTTCTTTTTGCATAGGATTATTGTGAAGATCGAAACTAAAGTGTTTGGGGGCACCCAGGTGGCTCAGTCAGTTGAGCGTCTGACTTTGGCTCAGGTCATGATCTCGTGATTCATGGGTTCAAGCCCTGCATCAGGCTCTGTGCTCATAGCTCAGAAACTAGAGTCTACTTTGGATTCTGTGTCTCTCTCTCTCTCTCTCTGCCTCTCTCTCTCCTGCTTGCCCTCTGTCTCTCTCTCAAAAATAAATAAACATTAAAAAATAAAAAACTAAAAAAAAACTAAGGCATTTAATCCAGGGTCAGACTCAAACTAGGTGCTGAGTTAATATTAACACTTATTTTTGTTATTATAGTTAACATTAATTTGAACTTCATTCTTATTTATGAAAAGATAAGTGCTCATAGCAAATAGGTCTGCTTTTTGCCCCAGAAACTTGTACAGGTGTCATACGTGTGCCTACCCATACCTCTTGAGTATACAAAAGCCCACAGAAGTATACGATGTACATATGAATATATATGCTTAAAATAAAAAGTGCCTTCCTTTATGCACATTAACAAAATGCTTCTAGAGAAGAATGTAATAGAAGATTTAACACAGGGGCTGCATTTGATATCGTCAATACCTGGCATAATCCATACCTAAAACAAGTGAAAAGAGTTGGTGAATTCTTAACGCTATTATTCCATTCTACTGAGGCTTGTCCTTTCTGGGTGTAAATGCTTTTTGTCTCTTCCCATGCC